TCTTCTGTATCATTCTCAAATGGATGGTTACTCGGTTCCATTGTGCTATCTGCTTTGGCTTTGACTACATGGACTTCAGTGTGATTTTGCAATCTAGATTTCTATGCTTCGTCCATATTCATGTTCCTTGCAATTTGGTATCGGAGCTGGTTTGATCGCCACTTACCTTTGGCACGCTGGCGTTATACAGACTTGGTGCGTTGATGATGCTTCTTCGCAGTGGGTACTTGTGACGTCAGGCCACTATAGGCGCACACCCTGGGTAGAGAGGGGTGCGCCGGAAGGCTAAGACGGCAGTGTATGCCGTGGTGACATGCGGAATGTATGATTGGTGATGAGAGCATGCTGATGTGGCATTCGGCAGAGGTGGCACTGCATTGTGTTGTGGATGGTACCGAAGCCAAGACCGGTCATCAAATGCACACTCAGCTCAATTGGTGAGAAATCTGTGGTTGGGGGCAGCTATCTCCAGGTACGTTGTTCCCTTACCTTATCTACTCTCTCAATCTCTTCTTACCGTGAGGAAATGAGTCCAACTTGAGAGTCCTCTCTTTTGGTGAGGTGTCGTGAGCGCGCTACCTTGAGAGACGACAATCTTCCCGGAAGCATCTGAAAGAAGTAAGGGCGGTGCCTCTGAAGGGCCCTGGTCGAAGCACTGGGTCACGGTCACCATGCCAACCCAATGGGAGTAGGTCACGCATGAGATGGTTGCTGTCCATTAAGGCACTTGCTGCGCCAAATATAAGTCTTGCCGGGTGTGCCAGCCTTGTATGAGACGCTTACCAGACCGTCTATAAACATTTATGGTTGGGTACTCGGATTGATTCTGGCTGTGATCGTCGTCCTGACTGCGACGTTAAAGAATTCCTGAAGAGATGGGGGCGCTCTATAAATTCCTCCTGATCAGCCAGATAAACTGGGTGTAAGGCTCGTTTCCGTACGAGGGTAAATAAGAGTGGGCTGGCTGGCTTGCTCGGCTTTGACTTGGGCACAGGGGTGGGCCGATACACACACGAAGACACTGCTCGCTCAATGATGTTGTTCGGTATGTTGGATTGAGGGGATGGTAGGTTCTAATTGGTGCTCAACTGAATACACAACCATACCCACTCATCATACATCTGCTACATTGTCTTTTTGTATCTTTGATTAGTTGGTGGACAGACTGCTAACACCTTACAGACAGATTAGATTAGTACTGCAGCATGCTACCATATCTAGTTTTGTCTAATGCTAGCTGTAAGTGAACCAATCACAGTACATCTAGACTATGTAGACAATCTGTGTGAATGTTGTAGACATGCCACTTGATCGGTACAGTAGGGGACCTTCCAGACACAACTGTATTTAGAAAATTAGGTGTCGGTCAGACACATGCTGTGGTAGGACTCCACTAAGGGGTTCTAGTGCAGATAATGTTTGCCTAATTCATGAACGGGTCAGACGTCGATGAGGAGAGAGTTGACGATAGGAGACTAACACGTGCGAGGTCACGTAGGATCCCGCACGTGTTCCAGGCCCTACAACCGGAAGACGAAAGACGCATTCGTGCCGAACGCAGAGCCCGTGCTCTCGCAACATCGAGAGAGGCAGCAAACGTTGCAGCTAGGGAACAGGCTGTAGCAGCAGCCAGGGCAGGAGCCATGTCTTCTGCAGCAGCATCCTCCGCCGCAACTTCTGTTGCGTTCTCGTCTGGACCCCAGTTGGGAATGCCCACAGGGTCCACGGGTACTTCCAGTTCTATAGGTTCTCGTCAGTCTACAAGTCAAATGGCAGGCTCGCAGTACAGCCCGTTGACTCCTCGAAGGGATTGAAAGAGGATGTACTAACTTATGTTCGTACTTGTCTTGTGTGTCAGAGAAACAAACCCTCACATGAGAATCCACTTGGTCTTCTCAGACCGTTACCAATTCCAAGCGAGCCAGGTGAGTCGATTTCTATGGATTTTATGAGCCTCACCAAAAGTCGAAATGGCAATAGCCAGGTAATGGTAATTGTGGATCGTTTCTCTAAATATGCTATGTTCATTCCCTTACCGGAAAAAGCAAGAACGGAACTTGTGATCCAAAAGTTTCAGATGCGATGGGTGACTGAGTATGGTTTTCCTTTATCCATTGTATCTGATCGAGACGAAAGGGAGCTCAGAGAGCTCCAACAAGTCGAAAGGATCCGTGAAAGATTAGAGAGGGAACTGAAGGAAACAACCGATAGGGAAAAAGAGATAAAGAATAGAGCGGCCAGGCTTGATACGTTAGAGGCTGACAAAGCTAAGTTAGAGGGCTTGGATGACTCTGGAATGAATGATCCCATGAAAGTGTTGAGGGACAACATGCTGTCGCTGCATGCGCACGTGGACAGCAGGTTGGACTTCATACAGAGCACTTTGGACCAGATCCTGGACATTTTGACAAGGCCAGGACTTAGGCCACCAGCGCAATCGCCGTTGCCGTTATCGGCGATGTCAGGCCCCTTTCCAGTTCAAGTTGGTACACAACCAAGTGGTACATCTGCAGCAGGCACACAGACTGTTACATCTTCTTCTTCGGGTCCAGCGGTGATTGCTACATCACCGCAACAACCTGTTCAGCAATCTGGACATCCGCAAGGTCAGTGGTACCCTAAGACCCCAATGAAACCACCTCTTGCCTTCTCAGGCGAGAGAAAGGATGAAGAACTCAACACATGGTTGAGGACAGTCCCGGTTTGGGTGAAGGCAAAAAGGACCTTGCCTGAGGACAAAGTGGTAACTGCTGCATCTTACCTCGAGGGTAAGGCAGCCAAATGGCTAGATGGTGTAGTTCTGAAGGCAGGGTTTGGGCGGCGCATGGCGGACTGGGCTAAGTCATTGACGCTAGACCAGTTCATGGAAATGGTAGAAGCTCGCTGGCATAATCCACAGGAGGCACAAAGGGCCACTGATGCGATTAACAAGCTGGACCAACGAAAGTTCAAGTCGGTCAGAGAGCTTACGACTACCGTTGAGAGCCTGATCCTCATCCCTGGCATCAACTAAAGTGACCAGTTCCTATTAACAACATTTGTTAGATGTTTTCCTGAGAACATCAGGAACTTGCTGGCCAGCGAGGCACGCCTCGAGTACCATTCGTTTGAGACCTTGTCTAGGAAAGCCTTAGATCTAGAGGCGACGCTAGGCAATGCTCAACCCTCACAGAATGACACAAAGAAGAAGAAGAGCCCTCAAGAGTGGAAAAAGAAGGGGGTTAAGTTGATGATGGTGGAGTCCGATGGGACTCAAACTGAGATCGACGAGCTCTCTGACCTGATGGACTACTCAGAGTATGACGGCGAGGAGGTAGCCGAGGGTAGCACCCTCGCCACAGTAGTTAAGACTAAGGCGGCTGGCCGAGGACAGGGCCAACCTAGGGGTCAAGGGAAGGCCGCCTCCAATCAGACCAAGCAGGCTGAATGGGTCAAGGCAGGTCTTGATCAAGACGTGTGGCATGACCGCCGAGTGCGGGGCGCTTGTATAAATTGCGGGGAATACGGACACTCGCAATACAAGTGCCAGAACGCAAAGGTTACGCAGAAGATTGCTCCAAAGATGGGGGCATCTTACTCCCAAGGTTCTAGCTCGGGAAACGCGTAAGGCCAGTGGAAGTCTTAGCTGCTTCTACTCAAGATGAAGTGGGCATGATACCCTCCTCACTTCATGACAAGGCCAAAGCTAATGACCCCTTAGTCACCCCGCAGACGCATCTAGACCAAACTATGCTCTGTACGTTAGATGTGTCTGAGGCCTTAGAGGACTTAGAGTGTGAGCGGTCAAACAAGGACCCTCGCGAGTCCTGGGTGGCACTAAGGAAAGGTCCTAGAGGGGAACATTTCGTGGTGGAAGTGGATGTAGGAGGTCGCAAATGTGGTGCCTCCATAGACATCGGATCCACGCGAAATTACATAAGTCGCGATTGTTTGGAAAAACTGCACCTACAGGACCGGGTACAGCACCTTAGTAGACCAGTAGCATCTACTTTGGCCAACAAGGAGCGCACGATTGTAACAGACTACATCAAGGACGTAGTTTGTACCTTTTCCTATGGAGGAGGAGAGCTTAACCATAAGATCTCGTTCTTGGTTAGYGACGACTTACCATTTGACATGTTGTTAGGCATGTACTACCTCGAAGTTGCTGAGCCCCAGTTTGACTGGGATAAGAAGGTGCTCAAACATAAGTTGCCCGATGGCCGAACTGTCAGATTGACAAAGTTCAAGGCCAGTAGTATTATAGATACCTATGGCTGCTTGTGTGCATCAGCGTTCTACAACTACTACAAGCAAGACCAAGAGGAGGGTATGTACCTTGTTTATGTCTCTGAAAGAGGGGAGGTCGTTAAAACACCCCCAGAGATAAAACGCATCATTGCTAAGTTCCCTGATCTGTTCGAGGAGCCCAAAGGAGATGTTGAAAGGGAAGTCGTCCACGCTATAAAAATCATTCCAGGGAGTAAGACCCCAAAGGGAAGGATCTATAGGATGACCCCCGCTGAGTTAGATGAACTTCGACGACAGCTTAAGGAGTTGACAGAGAAGGGTTGGATTCGGCCTAGTACTTCCCCTTACGGATCACCCGTTCTATTCATATCGAAGAAGGGGGGTACTTTGAGGATGTGCATTGACTATAGAGGCCTCAATGCCATCACTGTGAAGAACGCAGAACCTCTACCTCGCATAGACGACCTATTGGATAGGGTGCAGGGATGCAAGTACTATAGCAAGATAGACTTGAAATCCGACTATCATCAGATCGCTATAAGGCCCGAGGACCAACACAAGACAACTTTTCAGACTCGTTATGGTCTGTATGAGTTTGTAGTGATGCCTTTTGGTCTTTGTAACGCACCGGGAACATTCCAGCACGCTATGAATCGGATCTTCCATGACCATTTAGATAAGTTTGTCGTAGTCTATCTAAACGACATTCTAATCTTTAGTAAGTCTGCCGAGGAGCACGCACAACATGTTGAGAAGGTACTCTCACTCCTGCGACAGCACAAGTATAAGGTCAACTTAGAGAAGTGCGAGTTTGGCCGCACTAAGATACTATACTTGGGTCATGAAGTATCCGCGGAGGGGATTAGGCCGGAAGATGCAAAGGTGGCTAGTATTCGAGACTGGCCATGACCTCAAACAGTCACTGAGGTCAGATCATTCTTAGGAATGTGCGGCTACTATAGAAACTTCGTAAAGAACTATTCTACAGTCGCCTCTCCTTTGACTGGTCTAACTCGACTTGACACACTGTGGGACTAGAGTGATGAGTGCGAGGGTGCTTTCAAGAGATTGAAGCATGCACTCATGAATCATGAGGTCCTCATGGTTCCTGATCCTCAGAAGCCGTTCATAGTGACCACTGACGCAAGCCTATACGACATTGGCGCAGTGATGGCTCAACAGGATGGGAATAAGTTGAGGGCGATTGAGTACATGAGCAAGAAAATGCCATCGAAGAAACTGGCGAAGTCCACCTATGAGAGGGAACTCTATGTTCTATACAAAGCAATTGTCCATTGGAGACACTTCCTATTAGGAAGGTTCTTCTACTTGAGGACTGATCATCAGACCCTCAAATGGATCAAGACTCAACCGGCTCTTTCTGACGCACTCAAGCGATGGATTGAGGTCATAGACAAATATGACTTCAAGCTTGAGTATCTGAAGGGAGAGTATAACAAGGTTGCTGATGCGCTATCACGTAGAGCAGACTACCTAGGTGCGCTAGTTTATGACTCTGGCGTATCTAAAGAAGTAACTCAATCATTGGTGGGAGCCTATCAGGAAGACCCTGTCACGATGGACATCATGCGCAAACTTCAGGCAAAAGACAAGGCCACGGA